CCCCCGACCCCCGGGACCCCCGCCGGGGCCCCGGGTCCGGGGGTCGACAACCCTGCCCCCAACCCTTCCAATATACTGAACGAACCATTCAACCAGTCCCTTCGCCCTCCCCCCGGATCGTCAGCCCGATTGCAAGAGAGAGAGGACAGTAGGGGAGAGAAAGAGGGGTGCGCGAGAACGGAGACCCCTGCCACACTTACCAGCCTGTCGTTATCGGTATGGTTGTTATTGTTGTCGTCATTGTTATTGTAATCCGGCATACACACGCCCTCGATTTCCAGGCTCGCTCCATTGTCATGCTCAACCATCACAGTATTGTCGGTGCCCACGACCCCCGCGTCGTGGTTGCTGTCAGTGTTGTTGTTGTTGTTGTTGTTGTTGTTGTTGTTGTTGTTGTTGTTATTGTTGTTGTAGACGTTGTTGTTGCTCACACCAGTAGCGAAGGCGTTATCAACTCCAGCTCTACCTTCCACCCGCTCGTCACTGCTATCTTCGTCTTCCATCTCGGACAAGTGCAGGTACCACTCCTCCTCCAGCGCTGCATAAACATCTTGCCCCTCCTCAAAGATGTCGTCGCAGCACCGCTTCAGAGCCTCCCCCTGTAGACCATCTATGAGATCACACGTTTGCGAAGCTGGCCCCTCCTGCAAGTCACAAATAATCTGCACCATGTTCCTCATGGTATCTTGAAACGGCGGAGTCGATGAAGTTGCCCCCCCATCAGCCTCAAAACGAACTCCCAGTTGCGACTGCAGTGCTTCTACCAACGTCTGTAGACAACAACGAGCTGCTCGGATGAAGGAGAGTCACTCAGTGGCCTCTCAGTGCATGTGTGCCATTGAAGCCGTCTGCATGTACAAAATTCGCGCTGACAATCTCCCACGCTCCCTGCCAATCCCACCTGTAACGGGGGCTGCCACGTCAGTGTCTCCACAAACGTGAGGCAGGACACGTAGCTCAAGCTCCCCTCGTCGACCCACTCGAGCGCCCGATCGCGTGGAGGGCAGCCGGGCCCTGCCTGCTGCGACCACGCGGAGTGTTAGCGCTGGCCACTGTTTCGCACCCTGCCAGTGTTAGAGATGCTGATAAGAGCAGATACCTCTATTCATTCTAAGTGTAAGTGTTGAATTTTTTCCTTAACCTTGTCCCATTGTGCTCTTATAACTGTTTGGATTTGTTGTATAATAGAGTCAGTAAACTCAGGACCATCCAACCTTACCCCTTCCATCTCATAGGTACATCTTCTCCTCCAAATGGCCCAAAGCACCGCTCTTCTCCCACTCATGAATAGATTATGAGTAAATTCGTCATATGGCTCTGGTACCCATGATTCTAGCAATATGGTTCTCCATTCCCAGGGCCACTGACAACATGTTCCCAACGTATCCCAAATCCGGTCCCACCATCTCCACAGCCAAATAGACCCTGGGCATTGTAGGAAAATATGTTCAATTGTTTCTGGGATAATTTTTACTGGGAATGCAGTCCTACAAAAAGGGCACCAGGGAAGAGTTATCCCTTTCTGTTCCAAAGTAGATCTACTAATCAACCAGTCATTTGTAGGAAGGCAACGATGTTCTATTTGCCATTGTAAGGAGGCTATTTTGGTTGGTTTAACTTTCATATTCCTGAACCATTTAATTGGTTTGAGAACTTCTCTGTTTAGACTCAACTGTTTCATCTATCTATCCCCCACCCTTTCCTTTATATTTATTTTAGGTCTTAGCATTCTATATGTTGATTTGACAGACAAGGTGTGAAGCATTCTCTTGTACTTGCGACCTCTCCCTCCTGTTGAGGTCCAAACCCAATTCGTGGGATCTAGTGCAAGGCAATGGATTGGTGTATCAGGTTTAAATGCCAACCATGTAGTGTTATACTTCAAAACTCTAATTCTGAAGACTTGGTTTTCATCAACCCATCTAGTCTCCTCCTCTGGGTTAGGGGTGACTGTAAGATCATGTGCAAGCCCATAAAGAGTCAATAGAATTTCCCCATTGGGGTTAATCTGCAGAATGCTCCCAATTAGACTGAATTGGTTCAATATAGTTACCCAATCTCCTTCTTCTAATTTAGGCCCTTTTATGAGAATCCTGATCCAATCCAATGGGATTAATTCAACAATTTGTTCTAGTGCTTCTTGAATGATGGCAGTAACGCAGCTTTCTTTGTAATTCATCCAAGGAAATCCAGTCTCTGGTTTCTACATTCCAGATGTCTTTAATACGCATGATGCCTCTCTTAATCCAACATTTCCATGGTGAGTCCATACAGTCGAGCACATGGCCCTGTGAATTCCTAATCCAACTCTTATTGAAAAGGGGTTGCCTACACACTTCCTCCCATCTGTCTGGAGCCATCTTATCAGGCAGGGGGAGCTTTCTCCATGTTTTAAGTAGCGTAGGTCAAAATGAATCATAACTTAAGTCTATTCGGGCTGCTCTATGATCTGAGGCAACTTGGCCTTCTACCTCATTGAATGCTCTTCTAGGAATAGTCCATGATCTATTTTTTATCCATGACATTGGATCTATATTATCTGAAGCATCTGGAGTTAATCTTCTAATTTGTTTCCATGCCAACTCTTTCCAGGGAGTTTGAGGGTTAAAGAGTAGTTTTTTAATCCACTGAATAGATAATGTCATTCCTTGTGAGTCTGGATCGATAATTCTCAATCCCCCTTTGACTTTTGGTTGTATCACTGATTGCCAAACTACCCTGCTGATGACATTTTGACTTTCATGATTTCCTCACCATAGAAAAACTACCATTTTTTATTTTTTATTTTTTTTTATTTATTTTTTTGGAAAGCTTGAACAGGTTTGCTAGGGAAGGTGATAAGAGCAGTCTTCCCTAGCAGCCTGTTAATCGCCGCTCCATCTATTGGTGGGGAGCATCGCCTGCTGGAAACCGGGTCCAGCGTCCCTTGAATACATCTTGGCAAAAAGTGGATTCTGAACATGACACCGCTGTGATGGAAACCGGGTCCAGCGTCCCATATCCAAACATTTCCAATCCCTTCCAGTTGGCGTAGGCGGGTATTGGGGGTTGGCCACCGGGGGGCACCAGTGGAGTCTCCCTCCTTTACTGAGCCTCTGCCCACCGCCTACCTTCTTCGTGGTGTCCATAGGCATCATCTAAGATATTACTGTTTGCTTTTGTAGAGATTTTATTGCTATTTTATCCATCGGCCATATTGTTGACTTATACCAAATAGAAGCCAATACAACATTGTTGATGACCATTGCGCGTCCCATCACCGAGGTATGCTTATTCTTCTATAATTCCAACTTTGTCTGTGCTGGTTGAGTAATCCATCCATTGTTTGTGAGTGGCTTACCTTTTGCAGTGAGTGAGATACCCAACACTCTGACTGGTGTATCCAATGAGACCCATTTCACCTTGGGTTGTTCAGGAGGGCGAACTCCCTGATGATGAATCCACCAACCTAAGGTCTTATTACCCCAGTTAACTCTCATGTCAGACCAGCGACAAAACTTATCCATCATCCTTTGTACTGCTACCAATCTATAGTTGTGACTTGGATGCGTTTGATTTCTTTATGTTTTCTTAGATTAGTAGCTAACGCTTCCATTATAATGACAAACAAGAATGGCGCAATCGGATCTCCTTGCCTAACCGATTTTTGTAAAGAGATAGGCGAAGCAACATTCTCATTAATCATTACTCTGGTAGTAACATTTTGGTGTAGAATATTAAACCATCTTCTGAAACAAGGACCAAACTCAAGTTTTTCTAGACACTTGTCCAAAAAATACCAATCTACATGATCATAAGCTACGTAGCACCGTGTTCGCGTTCAGAAGCGAACGCGAACAAGCGCCCAAAACTCTCCGAACGCGAACATAAAAAATATATATAAAAAAAAAGAAGTTCTCAGAAAAATCTGAAAACACTATATATTATGTGAAATAAGAATACAAGCAACTTTTGCCTTGGAGTCATGTTCAAATTCATAGCCAATCATAAGTTAAAAAAAAATTATATATATATATATATATATATATATTTATATATATCGTCAAATATATATATATATATATCGTCAAATATATATATGTATATATATATCGTCAAATATATATATGTATATATATATATATATTATCACAAACAGAACTGCCCGGTAAACCGTAGGCAGAGAGAGAGAAGAGGACAACAAACGAGGGGCTGTGACAAACTGTTTCGTCGGAGTTTAATATTTTTATGGAAAAAAAAATATGTTCGCCCGAACAGGTTCGCAAGCTGTTCGCTCGAACGCGCGAACACGTTCGCCCGAACGTGAAGGGGCGCGAACACGTTTGGCGTGCTACGCAGATCATAAGCTTTCTCAAAATTTATAAAAAGGATTGCCGCGTTATGCTTGGATTGTCGAGATAATTTTACCAACTCATTGATTAATAATACATTATCTTGAGTATTCCTCCCATTTATAAATCATGTTTGAGCTAGATCGATGATGTCCATTATGACCTTACTTAATATGTTTGCTAATGCCTTTGCTACAAGCTTATAGACCACTGTGAGTAAGGTGATTGGGCGGTAATTACGAATATTGGATTTGCTTCCTTTTTTGTACAATAGGGTTAATACTCCTTGCCCCACGATTTCCCCTGTTTCACCTGTCCTCCAGACTACCTGGTAAAATTCCATTAGATCTTGTGAAAGGAAATCCCAATTAGATTCTCAGAATTCTTTAGGGAAACCATCAATACCTGTCGTTTTCTCTTTTTCCATTAACATTAAGGCTGTCCAAATCTCCTCTTTTGAGAGGGGCATCTCAAGCATCTCCTGTTGCCTTTTTGTTAGTTTCTTAGTTAGTGGTATTAGGAAGTCCTTGATTTCCGCATCCCGTAGATTTCTTGGAACATCTTCAATTTCTGATGAAAATAAGTTCTTGAAAAAATCTCTCGCTATCTTGGTACAGGCAGCAGAAGATATGACCATATCATCCTCATTTTGTGGGTCTTTTAATGCTTCTATCACTGTTCTTCCAGTCCGTACTCTAGCCATTGCGAAAAATCGGGCATCCATTGACCCTTTCATATAGTGTTTTCTAAGTTTTCCTCTGATCCTGGTTCCTTGCCAACGGTACTCCATATGATTTAATAACTTATGTTCTGACTCCGCGATTTCAACTGCTAAGGCCTCCAAGACTTCCATGTCTTGTGAATCAGTTTCCTGTTGCTGTAATTCTTGAATTCGCTGTAAAATACGTGTTTCATTAGAATGGCGTTCGACTGCTAATGCTTTTGAATATTCATTGCATTTACGGCCCAAAAACATTAGGCCGTTGTTGAACCATTTAATATCATCATTAATAGTATATTTTTGTTCCTTCCAATATTCCCAGACATCTTTGAGATAACTTTTGAAATTGTCAATTTTAAGATGAGAAGTGTTGAGTTTGTAAAATCCTCTTCCTTGATCTGGTTTCTTTCCAAAGGAGAAAATAGACACACACATCGCATGATCCAATCCTGGGAACGGAGAGCGTGGGAAAATCTCTGCCACCTGTAGGGCTCCTTGCATTTCCTCTGATACTAATATTAGATCAATACGAGATTT